CATTTACTATATCTTCTTAATCAATATAAATATTCAGATAAAATAAATAAGAAGAAACAATGTATATCTTATAGTGATTATATTACACTATCTGAAGGGGGTTTTATGGAGGTTTTAGTAATTTTTATAGTTAAATTTATGAGTTGATTAAAGGTAGACTATCATGAAAAACCTGGAAGCACGAAATCGATAGTTCCTGTGTTCGAATTCTACGAATGGGATCGTGAATACACCGTCCAGTGCTTCCAGATTTTCCATGATGTTCTAGCTTTAATATACTCATCAATTCAATAATAAAATATGATACAGTTTATTAACTTACTTTTCATTTATATTTATTCGTTTACTGGATATATGACAATACGTTTTAAGAGTAAAATTAACAAGAAAACAATTTTTTATGCCGAATAATATTTCGTTAAAAAAGAAAAAATATTAGAAGAGAAAAGAAACGAAAAAGAAAATCATTCCAATCATATTGCACGAATTTACTATTCAATAGGTTTGAATGTTCTTCGAATTCTAACCAATCAAAATTTTTTTTTATTATTTTTTTAATTTTTTAATTTTTGTTTATAATTGATATTTTAGTTCACTTGGTATTACTTTGCTTGAATCTTCCCAAATAGGATGAAACTCGTGTCCTAGATTCTACTGCTAGTCACTATCCATAATATTTGACAAGTAAGACCACACCTTGTATTTGAATAATTATACTTTACATTGATTAAAATAAATTAAAAGAACATATTCAGACGAAATAGCTTTCCAGTGTTCCCAGGTATTCTATGATTGTCTAGGTCATGAATAATATATAATTGATAAGGATTAATTTTTTTTTTCTAGTTTCATTCTAATTGTTATGGTGATTTCATTAAACTATTTGAACATTCGACAGGTAATCAAAAATAAAAACAAAACAGAACAAGACAAAATGTCACTCAATTAATTCGTTGTAAATAAACATAAATATTTGATCAGAAGGGGTTTTGTAGAGATTTTAGTAATTTCCCAAGTTTTCCATAGTGGTCTAACTTCAATTGACTTATGATTTCAATGAATATTTGAATTTATTTATTTTTCAACTATGTAGAAGAAGAAAAAATTTTAAAAAAAATTTATTGAAATGACCCTGTTTTATGGATAAATATTAAGTGATTGGTTAAAAAATAATACCCTGTAGTAGTAGTAGTAGTTAAGAGAAAAATAAAAAAACATACACATTGTGTTAGATATATGGTGGAAATTTATTATCATTAATTAGTAGTTAAGTAAATTTACATGAAAAGTAAGTCGTGTAGTGTATTATACTTGATTTTAAATGAACTTTATATCGTTTCTTTTTTCTTTTTGTTTTATTTCAATAAATAACTTGATAGAATGATGATATCGCATTTCTTTTGTTAAGTATGTCTTAATGTAGATTTCAGTTCATTGTTGTTGCTTGATAAATATATAATTTAATAGTTCAGATCATGTGTGAATTGAAGTTAGACCACCATGGAAAACCTGAGAGTAATTGACGGTAGTTTCGTCTTATTGTGGGACTTCTCAGCAGAGCATATACACGATTCCGCCTAGTGAGATTCGAACCCGAGACCTTACTTACTTACTTACTTTCTTACTTACTTACTTACTTACTTACTTACTCACTCACTTACTTACTTACTTACTCACTTACTTACTTAAATACTTACTTACTTACTTATTTACTTACTTACTTACTTACTTACTTACTTACTTACTTACTTACATTCTTACTTACTTACTTACCTACTTACTCACTCACTTACTTATTTACTTACTTACTTACTTACTTACTTACATTCTTACTTACTTACTTACTTACTTACTTACTCACTCACTTACTTACTTACTTACTTACTTACTTAGTTACATATTTATTTATTTACTTACTTACTTACTTCTTTACACACTCACTTACTTACTTACTTACTAACTCACTTACTTACTTAATTACTTACTTAATTACTTACTTACTTACTTACTTACTTACTTACTTACTTACTTACTTACTTACATTCTTACTTACTTACTTATATACTTACTTACTCACTCACTTACTTACTTACTTACTTAGTTACATATTTATTTACTTACTTACTTACTTCCTTACACACTCACTCACTTACCTACTTACTTACTTATTACTAACTCACTTACTTACTTACTTACTTACTTATTTACTTACTTACTTACTTACTTACTTACTTACTTACTTAATTACTTACTTACATACTTACTTACTTACTTACTTACTCACTCACTTACTTATTTACTTACTTACTTACTTACATTCTTACTTACTTACTTACTTACTTACTCACTCACTTACTTACTTACTTAGTTACATATTTATTTACTTACTTACTTACTTCCTTACACACTCACTCACTTACCTACTTACTTACTTATTACTAACTCACTTACTTACTTACTTACTTACTTACTTACTTACTTACTTACTTATTTACTTACTAACTTACTTACTTATTTACTTCCTAACTTACTTACTTACTTACTTACTTACTTACATACTTACTTACTTACTTACTTACTCACTCACTTACTTATTTACTTACTTACTTACTTACATTACTTACTTACTTACTTACTTACTCACTCACTTACTTACTTACTTACTTAGTTACATATTTATTTACTTACTTACTTACTTCCTTACACACTCACTCACTTACCTACTTACTTACTTATTACTAACTCACTTACTTACTTACTTACTTACTTACTTACTTACTTACTTATTTACTTACTAACTTACTTACTTATTTACTTCCTAACTTACTTACTTACTTACTTACTTACTTACATACTTACTTACTTACTTACTTACTCACTCACTTACTTATTTACTTACTTACTTACTTACTTCCTTACACACTCACTCACTTACCTACTTACTTACTTACTTACTTACTTACTTACTTACTTACGCCTTTTACCCTCCCCCACTTGGACCATAGGCCACCGACCTGTTTTTTATAAACTACCCTGCCCTGGGCCTTCCTTTCTGGTTCTATCCAATTCTTGTTCATTTTTCTCATGTCTATCTTTATTTCCCGGCGTATTGTGTACTTTGGTCTTCCTCTTCTCCTTTGGCCTTGAGGATTCCATGTAAGGGCTTGTCTCGTGACGCAGTTGGGTGCTTTCCTCAATGTGCGTTCTATGCACTTCCAGCACTTCTTCCTGATTTCTTCCTTCGACTGAGATAGGACTAATTATCCACTCCGTTTTATCCTTGATTAAATCAGTTTCCAAGTCGGGGCTCACTTAACATCATCAGGCTATGCGATATGTATATTTATGTATAAGAACTGCAGACGTTCTTTGGTCTATGTAATTCATGTATGCAGATATATGCAAAGGGTATATGCGTGGTGTCGTACAAAAGAAACGTTAGCTGAAATATTGTTCGCCCTGTATCTAATAAAATCAGAGGCCTAATCTATCAGGTCCAAGACAAAGTAAAAGGATATGGTAGCAAATACTAGGAAGCGACGACCAAATACCTTCCTTGAAAGAATTCTTATTCTTATGTGTGTATCAGGAAGTACTAGAGCAATAGCCACAAGATGAATGACATAATTCATAATTGAAATCTGAATACTGAATTTATCATCTATAATATATGAAAGTCTTTTCCGTGTGATTAAAATGATCAGTAATATATACCAAACATAAAATTATCATCAGATAGGTTTTATGGATATTATAGTAATTTCAATGGTTAAGATCATGAGTCGGTTGAAGCTAGACCACCATGGAAAACCTGGAAGAACTGGACGGCCGTTTTGTGACGGGCTTCACGAGGTATATCCTGGAGTTCTAGTGAGAAGTAGTGACCAGTGGAGTTCAACCAGATCTGTTGTGAGATAGTAACTCACTGAAGACAATGGTGGATGTGTTGCTCAATTTCGTGGACTAGTTGAAGTTAGACATTAACACCGTTGGATGCCGGCTCAGTGGTCTAGTGGTTAAGTGCTCACGCGAGAAACCATTAGGTTCTGGGTTCGAGGTCGTGGATGCGCACTGCTTGAGGAGTCCCACAATAGGACGAAGTGGCCGTCCAGTGCTTCCAGGTTTTCTATGGTGGTCTAGCTTCAACTGACACATGATTTTAACCATTGATAAAATTATCATTTTATTGTATAGATCTATAATATTCATGAATATTTCTCTTATTTGTTTGAAAACAATTTTCATAGAGTTCATATCTAATCCATGTCAAATTCATTATACTATATTATATTGGATTACTGGATATATAATTATGATAATATTAGGATTTTTTATATTGAATCAACTCAATTTCATTGAACATCATTGTCAAACTTTATATAAAAGAATAGAAAAGAAAAGTAATCTATATAATGTTTCTGATTTACCATTTATATTTATTGGAGGTCATACAAATACAGGTAGATTAGTTTTATTCATTATGTTATTGATAAAAGTGTAAATACTGCCATACTATTTTATTTGTTAATATATCAATTCAATAATGACATGCATTGATTTAACTAGTTATGACCAATATGATAATATTTGAAATTCATTACTTACTCCTCTTACTCCTCATGGAGAAGCATAGACACTCACCAGCATTCTCTGCCCAACTTTGTTCTGAGCAATCCTTCATTCATCTGGTTAGTGGGATGAGGTCGCTAACCTTATGTTCAATCCTCCTCCTTTATCCGAGCTTGGGACCGGCAGTAACCCCAGATGGGCTCCAGGCGAAGGATCGATAGTTATTCGCTACAAAACGTTTTAATATCAGTACCATTAAGAAGTTATAAGCCTTGGGAAATCAGACGTTAATCTGATCACTTCCCTATAATATTTTTTCAGGTACTGATCTAATGGGAAATATTCTAGATACTCATTCAATGGTTCGTTGCAGACCTAAACCAATTATAACAAAATTCTTATTGCGATACAGAAAGAACAGACTACATTCAATGGAGCGATTAGTAGAATCTGGTATCACTGCAGCCGTGTTAAACAATGCTGTGGCTGCATTTATTGCAACAATAATCAAAGAAATGGGTCCAAGGACACCTAGACTATGCCACAATGATCTAGAATCATTTGATTATCTTGAAGACTTAAATATCTTGTTTCCAAAAGGAAAGTTTATTCACATAGTCCAAGATGGAAGAGCCACTATTGCTTCAGAAATAGCGTAAGTTTTCAAGTAAATTTAATTTGCTTTATGTATATATATAAAATGACCAATTGTAACACAGTGGTGATTAATCTCATATAGCTGATCAATTTTACAGAGTTATGAGTTTACATTAGTGACGTTCCATTTTCTATAAGTTGAGTTACACATTCTACACAATGGGATTCAGCCCTGATTTGAATATTCCTTTGGGATTCGTTATGAATAACATGCGATGTTCAAGAATATAACACAGCACAACTTATATAAACATGCTTATGATAAAATGTCATTGTATCTTGAGATGGTGGAGAAGATTTGTAGGTCAGGTGGGTGATTTTGTTGGTCTTGACCAAAACCATCCAGTTCAGAGAACAAAGCTCCGTCAAAGTGATTGTATCATACAGGTATGATATATTACATAATTAACAGTTTCATTAGCTGTTAATCTAAAGAGTTTAGTCATTGCTAATTCATAATTATATTTATTATAATTACATAATAATAGAATTATTTTATCCACTAACATTCCCCATTATTATCAATCTAATGATAATGTTTAATAAAGACAAATCTACAAATAAAATCAACATTCATCCCTTCATTGTTTATTTTTCAGTAGAAACATCAATTCTAATTATACATCTGAAAATATCACAGAAGCAATTTTAACTTGGGATGACGTAACAACACAAATATTAGAAGATTGTGAAAACATTGGTAGTGAAAAATGTTTAACTGTACGTTATGAATGTTTAGTATTGAATCCACTCAGAGAAATCCAGAAAGTTCTCCGTAAGTACATATTTATATTTCATAACTTTACTAAGTATACATAAAACAATGACCAACTATATATATATATATATATATATATATATATATATATATATATATATATATATATTCTGTTTAGAATACCACCAATTTAATTTGGGCATCTGATTATTTAATCCAACGTACGTTATTAAGTGTATGTCATTAATATTTACAGCTTTCAGTATTCATGAGTCTATTAAAGCCACACCAATATTGAAAACCTGGAAAGCTGGACAGCCATTTCGTCTTGGCATGGGACTCTTTAGAACTGTGCATCAACGATACCACACTAAAAAATGCTCCAAATGGGACATTCGGTCTCGCGCACGAACGCTTAACATCTAGTCTGCTGAACTGTTATCTAATAGTGTTTATTTATAACTTCAACCAACCAAAGAAACTAAGCCACTATCCATGAGTTTAACTATTAAACTACTACAATTTCCACATAACACGCTATCCGATAACACTGATCATATGCTCACTAGTGACTGTCTTAAAGATTTATTTCATGGAGTTCTACTGAGAAACCATAACCAGTAGATTTCAACCGTGTCTATTGTAAAGGCAGTTGATTACCAAAGGCAATAGTGGACGGCCGCACGATATCATAAATTCGTTGAAATTAGACACTGAAAAAATTAGACGCCAGCACTGCTTTGGAATTGAAACGTTCTCGAGCGAGACCGAATGTAGTGCCTTGCAGTCATGTGGGCGGGTTGTGGATGCGCAATGCTGAGAAGGCACATAACAAAACGAAACGGCCATTTAGTGCATTCCGGTTTATCATAGAAGTAAAGATTCAATCGACTCATGAATTCAACTAGTAAATTACAACAACCTACACAAAACATCCTTCTTCATAACATTCGATATCTCAATTGAGAATTATCGTTTCGTCAGCAGATAATGACGAAAGGCATTTCAATATATAGATTCCGTAGTTTATGGTAGCCAGAAATATAACTTGTGTATCACAATTTAAGGTATAACAACTTATTGAAATCACATTTAATCTCCTCTCTGTCAATGAATTCATTGTATTTATCTATAAAATCAGAGAAAGCAACAATGATTACATTCAATTATTAAGGTAAATCCGACTGATAAACCTGCTCAATATCAACCTAATTACAGAAGAATACAGTCAAACTGCAAACTGGACATTTTGGAAGAGTATAATGATGAGATCATCAAATTTTCAACAAACAAACACGTTTAGTATTAATCATAACATTGAGGATTTGTAAATGAGATTTAAACACTCTGAATTATATGAGTAATTCAAACCAAAGAGTGCCAATGAAAAACACACCTCTAAATACGAATCACTTTCATATTGAACAGTTCCATCCCAAAATAAATAAATCTTCCTAACAATGTATTTCAATTTCCCTCTTCGGAAATTACTTTCCGTACTTATTTCTGTCTCATCGATATTCTACTTATTATAAATCAGTAGTCTCAGTTGTATTTATCAATTTGTGTCATTTGGAAATCTTAATGAGTTACTTCTTCACTATAAACGAAAGTAAGTTAAGATTTACTTCACTACTTTTAATTTCTACGAACAGATTTCTAAATATTTGCCAGGCTGAATCTCCCTCATGTTCTTCAATTTAAACTTGGTTTGATTTGAACCACCTACCCATGTTCTTTTAATAGTAGATTATTTTCCATTAAGTAATTCATAAACACTTGACTCATCTTTTCATCACTTCTATAATTCTAGACAGTCCTGTATTTCTAACCATAAATCCGTGTTTATTATTAAAGTTTTCCCATGACAGTAGTTCCAGCTATGTTTGCTTAATCTGAATAGTTCACACTTCAGTGTCTTCGTATTCCAACTACAATATATTTTTGGCAATAAATCTCCCCACATTCACATAAACCTATAACGGCATGATGACATTTTCTAATGTTTCACTCAATCAATCACTCACCAGTTCAGAATCTCTTCAGCCTTATATCATTCACGAGTGCTTATACATTAATTAACAACTACACTTTTTTCCTTTTTAGATTTTCTCGAATTGCCATGGGATGAAAAACTACTTAAGTATGTGAAATATTCTCTTGATAAGTTCATATTGAAACGATAAGTCAGCAGAATGTTTTTTTGCATATGAGAAATTATACTGAAGCAAATAAGATAGAAACTTTCTAAGTAGGAAATAAAATTGTCACATGGATATCTCAAACATTGAAGAATAGGGAGAAGATATTGTTCAACATCACATTCAGCTATATTAAACAAGAAATTTCCAGTTTCAATGATTCATGAAATGCTTAGAAGATGAGGCGGCAAATGTACTAATCAATAAATCGAATGGACTGAAATAGGTAGTTGTGAAATTCGCAGATGACATGACAACCAGTTAGAAAGTTCGCTTAATGTTGATGAGAATTCCAATAAACTAACAGTTACTGATTAATGTAGAAAGGAATGTCTTTATTAATATGTAAAAGCAAAAAGTAAAATGAAATACCGAAAAATTTGTAAATCGATGGAGAAGTGGAGAAAATGTGTCATTTGTATCACACATTAGTCACAGCCATGATGATGACGAACAGAGGGTGAGCAAACATATGAATAATCAAAGCTTTCACAAGTCATGTTTCTCACCATAGCTTTCGTTACATTAACGTGTATGTGGAAGAAATGCACGTAAAAAATTAGGTTATTCTAGTAAAATATAGAAAAGCATCATTTATATTTATGTCCAACCAGTTTTCAAATCCGACATTCGTTTTTCTATGTCATTTGATAAATCATTTCATGATGTCCATTTTCACTAAACACAGTTAAGTGGTTTACAATTCAGTAGCTATTCACCACAGTTTCATCACTACTTCAATCATGGATATGCGATATCACTTGTGCAGACTGGCACCATCCTACGAATATGAGTGTGATTTTAACACACAATCATACTATCAAACTAACTTCTAGAAACTCAAGTCACGTTATGCAAACTCTCCTCATTCCATCATGGATAGTTACAATAAATAGATAGTTGTTAATAATACGTCCTTCATTTTGAAATCAACATCAAATCAGACTCAAATGAATCATTACAAAGCAATCAGGTGCCACGTGTATGGGAGAAACTACTTATGAAACAGGAATATTCAAGGCAAAACAGTTTAGTTTAGACATGATTTACTTTGAACATATTTAATTTGTTCTTGCACTACAATTTGATTTGTTTCACTTTATTTCACATATCAAATCCGCAGATATGGAACTGACTCCAGTCGGACAGATCAATTAATTCACAACAATTCTCTAGATGCATGGTCAAAAGCGAATTCACTCCTATCAGAAGAACACATCGAATTCATGAATGAGAATTGTTTGGCACTAAAACAGTTGGGTTATCTTACAGATGAAATCCCACCGAATTATGCTACAATCTGCAACATCTAAACTATTCTAAAAAAAAAACACATAGTCAGTAACAAGTTGAAATATGATAACTTGAATTTGTATCAATGAGAAAACATCTCTATTCATTGGTGTGCATTGCGTGTACTGTGTTTATTGTGTTTACGTAGAAACTGTATTTTTGTACACATTGATGCAATAAATATGTGATTTCATGGGAAGAAATAGTCGTTTGACATGTTACAACACAGGGTTATTTTCTAAGATAAACAATAAATAAATTGTATTGATTTACCAGTATTGTCACTAAGCGAAATCATTCTCGTTTCGGTGAAATAAACGACAAACCGACTCACAAGAAAAGCTTCCTTCAACAATCTTCCTTCAAACATGAATGGAGTAACGAATTAATAGATTGAGAATTTACAGTTATTACTGAAATAATAACAGAACCAACAATGGACAATTAATGCAAAAAAGAACAAGTATTAACTTCCCTTTCTAATGATCACAAGAAACAAGAAAGATTCATTAAAATCATTCTGAACATCAACCCTTCAATGAAGAGGAAAAGCAGAGAATTAATCCGTTTATTTTATTTCAAATTAGAATGAGAAGTAGCAATTACTATGAGTATACAACATGAACGTGGTTAAAAGTTAATGTGAATACATATAAAATAAATATTGTTGAGTCAATGACCCAGGAAACTCCAAAATAATTGAATAGGAAGTGATAGGTTATCAATTCACAGTGAAGACATTTCTCGATAACTAAGATTATAAATAATCTCTAATGATCAGTAAGCAACTAGACACTTCAGTGATGAAGAATAACGTGAGTTTACAATCAAGCTACACATAGAAAGAAGATTTGTGAAAAAATTAATTCGAAAAACTACTGATGCTAACGAACAGACGTAATAAGGGAAAAGTAATTTGACACTGTGATACCGAACACTCGAGTATTTAGTGATAATTCGCTTTCGTTACATAAGAGATTACTGGGAATCGATAGGGTAATGACAAATAAGATTGACATAATGCATGACATGCAAAATGACCATATTCAATATTTGAAAACGTCAACTTACTGACCTGTTACAGAAACGTGTTTCGAATAGTTCACTAATGTAAGGACATTATACTGTACATATTACAGTATAGAGGATATTAAATGAAATCAAAGGTAGGTTTAAATATTTCGTGTACGAATTGAAGTACAATGGTAAAAATAAATCAATCCACTTAAAATATATAAAAGTTAAATGGTCTTCCAATTCATAATAAAATCACAGTACCTGATGAGAAACAAACCGCTCAAATACGAACTAAATTGTCTGCAATGCAACATCAACCTTCATAAAATATTTCCATTTTCCAACGTCAAAAATAATACGAACTAATGTAAACTAAGAAAACTACGCGAAACATCTAGGTGAAAATACGCAACATACACTTTATAATATTCTGTTGTCATTTCATCCATACATTACATGATGGATATCAACAATTCAAAAGTAAATAAAATCACACAATGTCGAGCACGTCTCACACATAATATCAATCCATGAAATGAATTAAAACGATCTAACCGGTTACAACTATGTACCTGAAAATCATATCCAGATATGATTTCAATGCCAGAATATTCAGTGGAACAATCGTTTTATTCACTAAATCCAGATCAGGAAGATAAAACAATGCAAGTAACAGTATATGTATATTTATTGACTAGGGTACAGACATTTAGCTGTAGTCATCAATAGCTGAATCAGTGTAGAAGTATTACAGAGCCTAACAGCAGTCATAATTCGTCACATAACACTCATCTCAGCATCATTTTTTCGTAATGTTCACATCGTCTACAACAGGCTCGTCCACCACAGGCTCGTCCACCACTTCCACGTCCTCCGTTTTCTTTTCACTCTTCGCTCCTACTGGATGAACCTTACGATCGTCCTCCTCATCCTCATCCTTTTCATCCTTATCATCATCATGATTATCTTTATCTGCATTTTTCACTGATTTATCAACCTTCGCATGCTTCTCCTTTTTAGCAGTGGCGGTAGTAGTGTCATTTGCAGCAGCACAAACATCATCATATAACACAGTCATGCAGAGTAGAAACAGTGCCAACTTGAGGAACATGATAGAATAGTTGAACAGATTGAACGTTAACTACAAACGAAATGATTTCACCACTACACATAAGCATATATATGTACGTGTATATCATATGGACACACCGAATCGATGGTAAATCGAACCAACTAATGTTAGTGTATGAAACGTGCAATTGAGCATTTTTGATCAAAATATGTGAAAACATTTATTGGAAAACATAGTTGTCATTCTCATGAATCGATTTTACAATCAAAAATATTTTTTCACCCTACAATGATTTTCTATTGTTTTTCCACTAGTAAGTTCAGTCTTTTGTTCTGAATAGAAATCGCCATGGTAAGGCGTGCTGAGAAGACTTTTGGCGTCAGTATTTTATGCTGAATATTTGATGTTTAGTTTATGTCTACCGTTTCCTCAGATTAGACGATTGTGCTTGTGGTCAGTTGGTTGAGGTTCGTTCAACGTTACTGTAGAATGTAATTTAACATATTACACATTGTTCAATGGAGTACTTTGAAAATCTTTTTAACAGAACACCCATCCACAGACATTAATGTTCTAGTGTTGAAACGAAAAATATCGTCTTCGAACTTGTTTCTAAATATACTGCATCACGAGAGGTCGATGAACCACATTACCGATCAAAAATTTTCAAGAAGTTTCTTTCCTTTGAATTACTTAATTAAAGTGATATTAAAAAATCTTAGTCCTCATTGGTAAGCTGACCAACAATGTAAAGACATCAATATGATTATGTAACAGAAAGTCATGAGAAAGAGAAATAGAGAAGAAAGAGCGTTGAAAAATTATTAAGGATTATTTATCAAACATTTATCATCATGTCAGAGAAGAGCTAGTCACGCTTTTCTTCTGCTTACATCGGTCTGGTGGAAAACATATAATGCCTTGCACTTGAACTTGTGAAGACTTTTCTTTCTTGTAATCGTAAGTTCCGAGAAGTATGTTCAGAAAAGCTAATAGAAACTATTTCAGTTCTTCCCACATACTTGCTACTTGAGGTACATTCGCATTCATATCTGTAATTGAAGTTGACTTTGGATTTATATTTGTCATATTCATTTTGTTTAATAATATTTTACATGCCTCTCGATTGCTTTGCTACTTCAACCGCTCTCATACAGTCAAGACGATCACACTGAAGTATGAAAGAATTAATTAATTTGGATTTTTTATAAACTTTAATGTATAGTGGAAAAACGATGAAACTTGAATATATATATAGGTAAACACCTCATAAAAATTGGGTGCCCCTAATTATCAAACAAAATGAATATGACATAAACTAAACATCAAATATTCAGCATAAAATACTGACGCCAAAAGTCTTCTCAGCACGCCTTACCATGGCGATTTCTATTCAGAACAAAAGACTGAACTTACTAGTGGAAAAACAATAGAAAATCATTGTAGGGTGAAAAAATATTTTTGATTGTAAAATCGATTCATGAGAATGACAACTATGTTTTCCAATAAATGTTTTCACATATTTTGATCAAAAATGCTCAATTGCACGTTTCATACACTAACATTAGTTGGTTCGATTTACCATCGATTCGGTGTGTCCATATGATATACACGTACATATATATGCTTATGTGTAGTGGTGAAATCATTTCGTTTGTAGTTAACGTTCAATCTGTTCAACTATTCTATCATGTTCCTCAAGTTGGCACTGTTTCTACTCTGCATGACTGTGTTATATGATGATGTTTGTGCTGCTGCAAATGACACTACTACCGCCACTGCTAAAAAGGAGAAGCATGCGAAGGTTGATAAATCAGTGAAAATTGCAGATAAAGATAATCATGATGATGATAAGGATGAAAAGGATGAGGATGAGGAGGACGATCGTAAGGTTCATCCAGTAGGAGCGAAGAGTGAAAAGAAAACGGAGGACGTGGAAGTGGTGGACGAGCCTGTGGTGGACGAGCCTGTTGTAGACGATGTGAACATTACGAAAAAATGATGCTGAGATGAGTGTTATGTGACGAATTATGACTGCTGTTAGGCTCTGTAATACTTCTACACTGATTCAGCTATTGATGACTACAGCTAAATGTCTGTACCCTAGTCAATAAATATACATATACTGTTACTTGCATTGTTTTATCTTCCTGATCTGGATTTAGTGAATAAAACGATTGTTCCACTGAATATTCTGGCATTGAAATCATATCTGGATATGATTTTCAGGTACATAGTTGTAACCGGTTAGATCGTTTTAATTCATTTCATGGATTGATATTATGTGTGAGACGTGCTCGACATTGTGTGATTTTATTTACTTTTGAATTGTTGATATCCATCATGTAATGTATGGATGAAATGACAACAGAATATTATAAAGTGTATGTTGCGTATTTTCACCTAGATGTTTCGCGTAGTTTTCTTAGTTTACATTAGTTCGTATTATTTTTGACGTTGGAAAATGGAAATATTTTATGAAGGTTGATGTTGCATTGCAGACAATTTAGTTCGTATTTGAGCGGTTTGTTTCTCATCAGGTACTGTGATTTTATTATGAATTGGAAGACCATTTAACTTTTATATATTTTAAGTGGATTGATTTATTTTTACCATTGTACTTCAATTCGTACACGAAATATTTAAACCTACCTTTGATTTCATTTAATATCCTCTATACTGTAATATGTACAGTATAATGTCCTTACATTAGTGAACTATTCGAAACACGTTTCTGTAACAGGTCAGTAAGTTGACGTTTTCAAATATTGAATATGGTCATTTTGCATGTCATGCATTATGTCAATCTTATTTGTCATTACCCTATCGATTCCCAGTAATCTCTTATGTAACGAAAGCGAATTATCACTAAATACTCGAGTGTTCGGTATCACAGTGTCAAATTACTTTTCCCTTATTACGTCTGTTCGT